GGGTCTGATTCTTCGGGAATTTGACAACTAAGAATTAAGGGATTTTTATCCCATGGCAGATCAGTCGACTGTGTCGTGGACACTGGCGCGACATTGTCTATCATCTCAGAAAAATCTGCAAACAATTTACAGTTAAAAATTCAAAAGGTAAAAGGTATTAAAATTAGGCAAACTAAAGGAAATTTTTCTATTGATAAAATGTGTAGATTACAAATGAAAATTGGAAATATTATTAAACTAATTAACTTGTTAGTGTTAGATACTAATTTAGATTATGTTCTTTTGGGTTTAAATGAATGTAAATTATTTGAATTAAAAATTGATTGTAGTAATTTAGTGGTAACTCAAAGAAATGAAAACATTTCAAATTCTGTGAATGTAAATAACAGAGTTTCTTTGCATGTACAACTTGATCAAGTACTTGAAAGAAAACAGTAATGTAATGCCATCAGTTAAGACAAAACCTAGAAGTAATATCTCTGAGGTAATAAGTGTTGATGAAAATAATATATCTAATGAAAATAATGTGTCTAAAGGTATAATAGTTAATGAAGGTAATAAGTCTAATATTATGAAGTTTAATGATGATAAGATGTCTAAGGTAACAAGAGTTAATGTAAATAATGAAAGTAATGTAAAACTAAAAATTCAAAAAAGTGATGTGAAAAAACAAAGTAGTGAAATAACAACAGATTCAGAGAGTATGGAGGAAGAAAACCCTGAATTAATTAAATTGTTAAATAAATATAAGAATGTGTTTTCCAAAAATAAATATGATGTAGGTAAAATTAACATTGAACCACAACGAATTAACTTGACTTCTGATTTGCCTGTCACTTTAAGACCTTATCGAACTTCCCCTAAGGAAGAAGAAGAAATTAGACGACAAATTGATCAATTATTAAAAAATGGAATTATTAAAGAAAGTAGTAGTCCTTATGCATCCCCAGTAACTTTAGTATTAAAACGCGATGAGGGCAAAAAAAAACAGAATGTGTATTGATTATCGTAAGTTGAATGCTTTAGCAAAGACTGATGCTCATCCCCTGCCCGGATAGACTTTTTATTAGACAAATTAAGTAATGCAAATGTTTTTTTCTACAATAGATCTAAGATCAGGGTTTTGGCACATTCCTATTCACCCTGATGACACCGAAAAATTGGCTTTTATTACAAATTTTGGACTGTATGAATGGCTAAGACTCCCTTTTGGCTTCAAAAATGCACCGGCTATCTTTAACAGAGTTATTAAACGCATCCTCACTAAAAATAAAATCCAATTTGCTTGTAGTTATTTTGATGACATAATTGTTTACTCTTCTTCCAAAGAACAACATCTAAAGCATTTGAGTGAATTATTTGAAATATTTATTCAAGAAGGTATTAAATTGAACCAGAGTAAATGTGTCTTTGCCAAAGATAAAATCAATTTTCTAGGTTATGAAATTAGAAAGGGTAAAGTTACCCCAGATAACCAAAATATTGAAAGTATTAAAAATTTGAAATATCCAAGTAATGTAAAAGAACTACAAAGAGTGTTAGGCAGTGTAAATGTTTATCATAGATTCATACCTAATTATGCTAAATTAAGATCTCCTCTAAATAAATTATTGAAAAAAGATGTACCATGGCATTGGGATGATCAATGTCAAACTGCTTTTGACGAACTGAAAAATATTCTTATTTCAAAACCAGTCTTACAATTGTATGATCCAAATAAACCTTGTCATGTTTTTGTTGATGCATCACAGATTGCTGTGGGAGCTGTTTTGAAGCAGCCAGATGAAAGTAATGTATTACACCCAGTTTCCTACCATTCTAGAGCTTTAAAAGATTACGAAAAAAATTATGCAATTACAGAACTTGAATGTTTAGCTATTGTTGATGCATTAGATAAATTTTATTACTATCTTCACGGTCAAAAATTTACAATCCATACCGATCATGCAGCCCTTGTTTGGCTTAAAAATGTTAAGAATTTAAGAGGCAGATTATTCCGTTGGTCACTCCGACTCAGTATGTTTGATTACGAAGTTAAATATCAAAAAGGCTCTACAAACGTTGAAGCTGATATGCTTTCTAGACAACCTGTTTCTCACCAGCTCCAACATTCTGTGTATTTACTTAATCGTGATGAAATTATACAACAGCAAAAAAGTGACAATGTGTGTGATAAAAAATATGTAGAACTAAATGATTTGATGGTAATTAAGAAGAAAAAGGTTATAAAATTGTGGTACCAAAATCCTTAAGATTAAAATTATTAACTGAAACTCATGAAAAAAATTCGGACACCCAGGTATTCATGCTATGTTAAATTTAATCACCCCACAATATTATTGGCCCTACATTAGTAAAGATATTGGAAATTTCGTGAAACATTGCCATGTTTGTCAAATTAATAAAAAGAAAAAAAAAAAAAAATTTGGACTTATGCAAGAAGTACCCCAACTGATAAACCTTTTGAATGTCTTTCTATTGATACAGTCGGCGGTTTTAATTATTATAATTCTACAAAAAAATATTTACATCTTGTGATCGATCATGCCACAAGATATGTCTGGGCTTTTCCATCTAAAAGTGCAACTACAGAAACTTATGCTAATATTTTGAAACAAATTTTCCAAATTCAAGTCCCCGAAAAAATCCTTAGTGACCGCAATGCCGCATTCACCTGCAATAGATTCAAAAAATTTCTTAGAAATTATAATGTAAAACAACTTCTAACTACTGCTCATCACCCCCAGACAAATGGTAAAGTAGAGTGTGTGAACCAAACCCTAGTAACCCGTTTAAGATGTAAAGTAAATTCTACATCATCGAAAATTCCATGGATGAAAATTTTGGATCAAGTTATTAGTGAATATAATAATTCCCCTCATTCGGTAACTAAATTCACCCCTGCATATCTTTTACTCGGAAAACTTCCTTTCGATTCTCCCCTAGATCAAAATACTTACCCTCCGGTTGACATAGCGAGAAAATTAGCTAAAGAGAGAACTATTGAATATCATAAAAGGAATAAAAGTCGTTATGACACAAAATTTGCAGATGTAGATTTTCAACCTGGTGATCTAGTTTTATTTGATGAATTTGAATTTCCGAATACACGTAAATTGACAGCTCCCTATTCTGGACCATACCAAATTGTCAAAAAAATTATCTGAGGTTAATTATGAAATTGATAAAAAGAATTACCACACAAAGAAACCTACTGATATTGTCCATGTTTCCAGACTACGACACTACCAAGACCCAGAAAATTTTAAACTACATCACCAATAGGTAGACACCTTCCTTTTGGTAAACGCTCAACTGGGGTTGCTACTAAAGGTAATTAGAGCACCTCTAATTATTTAATGTCTAATTTTCTGTGTTGTAAATTTTTGGTGTGTGTTTTGTATCTTTGTATTTATTTTGTATTTATGTGTCAATTTTTTGGCAACGACATTAATGGTAATTATAAAATACTATTGAAGTTGAAAGTTGTGTTGAACGACAATGCAGTATATGACATAATTGTCATTGTCGATAGTAAAAGGTAAAATACGAGTAAAATTATTGTGTAAAATGATTATTATCAAAATAAGTGTTTTATATGAATAAGTAGTCAAAATGAAATACTGTAAACAAACTAAAAGTCAAAAGGAAATGTTAAGAAATTAGTCAAGTATTGCAATTGTCAATGATATGAAGAAAAAAATAGAGGAATACCTCACCTCAAATAGAAATTTTTAATATTAAAGCCACGGCGAACTGGAAATGAAAGATTTGTAAAATAGAACTGCTCTCTAATGTTTTGCAGCAATCTCTAAAGACCTGGATCCAGAACTGAAACTGTTCTCGAGAAATGTTTTCCCAATACTGCATGCATAATGTTATTTTTTCTTTATTTTCTATAAATGTCAATATATTAAGGTATATTATTTACAATTTTATATATTGATATTATTATTGACTGTGTTATAGTGAGAGTGTCTATTTAAGATTAATATTATTGTAACTCGAATTCTGGATGCGAGTTCTTCAAACAAATTAAGCAATTATTTGAAATAATTTTTTTTTTTCTATCTGGAATGTCTTGTGGTCGAGGCGCCCGGCTTCAAGCCTTTTCAGATGGGGGGGGGAATATTTGTAATAATAAAATTCCATAGTCAAGAATACACTTAAAATTCTAACTGTATGTTTCTTTTCATTTTTTAATGGCGACGTTCTCTTATTTGAAAGTACGTGGAATTAAATCCACAGCCCCGTAGTCAAGTTGTTTTTCCCCGCCTTTTTCTACACGTACAGTTATAGAATGTTCTGGAAATATTTAAAGCGAACTGGATTGGCTGACGAGGCTGACGTCATTTCTTGGAAGCTCCGCCTTTCCAGAGGCTAAAAAGGACTCGCAAAAGGAATATCGGGGCTTTTTCTTAAATGTCACGATGCAGTAAACTTCATACAAAAAGTTATTAGTAATTCTTTTTTTATTTACTCCGGATATCTGATTTTGACTGGAGTAAAGGAAGTTTAAAGTAATTCTTTTTTTATTTACTCGTCCGCTGATTTTGAAAAGTTATGCATTTCTCTGTTATTTCCGTTTTTTAACTTATCGTCTGAATCTGTCTACGACTACATTTTGTTATTCTTCTATCTATTTATTCCTGACAAAAGCTGGTACATCACATATATATATATAAAACGAATGTTTTTAGATAGAATTCTTAAAAAATTGTGTTCGCAGGCAAAAATGCCTGCTCATGTTGTTCGACCTCTTTGTTTTGTAACGTAATTTATTTTTTAAATAAAGAAGTTTAATTATCTTATATATGAACTATTAGTGTGTTATATCCGTGATAAAAATTAACTACAGATGCTTTTCTTTAACAAATCAGTATAAAAATAATTTGTCTTCCACTTCATGTCCAGTCAGCATATGTAAGCAATATTTGAAAATGGCCCAGTATGTTTTTCAGATTCAATTCTTTGTTCGGCTGTCCATCGAAACTAAATGTATAAAATGTTGATTCTTCTACAAATTATAAAATTCTTCTAATATAATAAATTCGATTCTTTACAAAATCATCAACAATTTTATATTAATACGAACTCAGAAACATTTTTAACACAAGATTTTATTTTAGTGAAATGCGCTTTTATTGTTTGTTGCGTTGCCACTCAGTGGTAGCAATCTCGTAACACGCAATCTACCGCTTCTATTTATTAGTCCAAAGGGGCAGTTTGCCCAGAATGACTATTAATTTCGTTTTGGTATTTTGAGTTGATTCACGAGAAATGTCGGTTCAAATTGTTGCCACCAAATTTTAGTGTTATATTTAAAGAAATTAAATAATGAAGAATCTGCATAAATGTACGAGTATGCATGTGATAAAACAACGACACCTAGAGCCATCGAATTTTGAATAACGTACGTTTCCACCAGAATATGGGCATCTGGAAGCCCAAATTTGAAATATGGAATTTGTTTTATTATCGATTTCATATTTTCTAAAACTTTAACGAATTTTTGATTAACAAACTGCATGATTTCAAAGCGAACAATGGCAACACTGTACGGAAAAGAATATTTTTTATCTCCAGCGCTCGAGACTGTGTATCGAAAATTCTAAAGATATGCTCATTTTTAAATTATTTTGCGATATTGCCGTTGAATTGAATTTTATGGTTTAAGTGCAAGAACATCATATTTAATAAATAAAGGTAGCGCACAAGACGTTAAAAAAACCGCCCTTTTGGGCATAAGCTTATAGCTTTCAGATTTTAATATTTTTATCCCAAAGGGCGTTGGCCCAGAACGGTTGTTAACTTCGTTTTGGCATTTTGTGTTGAAAACTTTAAATGTCGGTTAACTTTTCCAATTGTTGCCACCAAATATTGCAGCGCTGTATTATATTTAAAAAAATAAATTATGAAGAATCTGCATAAATGTATATGTGTTTCTCGCACTGTGATAAAACAACGATACCTTCAGCCATCCAATTTTGAATAGCGTACGTCTCCACGCGAATGTGCGCATCTGGAAGCTCTAATTTTGAATTTGTTTTATTATCTATCTCATATTTTGTAACACTTTAAAAAATTTTTGATTTAGAAAATCAACGATTTCAAAGCAGGCCATGGCAAGACTATACTAAAAGAAAAAAAAAAAAAAAATTTATCTCCAGCGCGCGAGTCTGTGTATAGGAAACTCTAAAAGACATGCTCTTTTAAAATTATTTTGCAATATTTTTGTTGAACTGAATTTTATGATTTAAGCGCGAAGAACATGATAATTTATAAACAAAGGTAACACCCAAAGCGTTAAAAAAAGCCCCTTTGGGCGTAATGTAGAATCTGAAACCTTTCAGTTTTTTAAAAAAAATTTCTATTGCAAGAGAATCCTGCGACAGTCATAAACCTCTTACTGAAATTTTCTTTGCATTGATGGAATGAGGTTTATACATTTCTTTCTTTCGTTTCGGATAATGAATAGATCGTTTTTTGTTACTGTCATTTAGGTAAACCCATGCTTTATCGTGGGTAGCGACGTATTTCTATTTATCTCCTATTAAATAGTTTTCAAACAGTGTTCAACCCAACTAGCGGCAGAGCGGTAAAGTCGCTGAACACTGGTAGTTTGGTCCGAGTTTCGAAACCCGCGAACGAGCTGGCTGCATGGGCAATTTCGTCGTTTTCCCCATGTGTAACGTATATAGGAACCAGTTCCTCTTAGAAAAGTCCTCCACGAAGGTATCTCTCCTCTTAAGCAAATAGTCCTCGACACTTTGCCGTAATTACAATAAACGAAAACGCAACCAAACAGGGTATGAAAATTGTTCTGAGTTAAGCCTCTTGCCTCGACAAAAGCTGGCGAACATTATGTTTTTTTTTTTTTTTTTTTTTTTTTTTTTTTTTTTTTTTTTAAAGTCGTAAATTTTGTTTTATTATTTTATTTATTGTTGCTGCAATTATATTTAAAGACTGTAATTAATTTCCATGCGCGGATTTGCCTTGTTACCAACGATTTAACGTTAGAAACATTACCTACCATTTTCGGGTATTCGCTTTAAGTGTTCTTTCCGTGTAGGAGTAATGACTGACTGTTTTTCCTTTCCGTTTAATGCTGTCGCTTATTTTACGCTTAAATTTTACTACCGTGCATTTCATTAAGTTTTAAATTATTTAATAGGAGTATTTTTCTTCGGATAGCGCAAAACATGTCCGCAGCTCTGTTGCTAGAAATTTTTATTCCAAAACATTACCTTTTATGCTTCTGCCAAGTAAAAAGGAAGTACTGTAATCGCGAAAAATTTCGAGTATCATATTTCAACGAAAATATGCATTTTGACCGCTATCGAATGTAATTTAACGATGTTTTTGCGTGACATCTATACGTAAGGACAGAAAAAAAGGACTCTTTTTGCCCAAATGAATTCTAAAACTGATATAAAATGGATTCAGAAGAGACTTTTTCTTCGCGTCTGTACGTATGTATATATTTTTGCATAACTCAAGAATGCCCCAGAACTTTTGGAATTTTGTTTATAGGTTTTGGTTGCAATCTGCCGCACCAAAAAAAGTATGTAAATATATATAATTCATAATAATTTATAATAAGAAAACTTTCCATATAGCTCAAGTCATAGGTTTTTTTTTTAATTATTTTTTTTGAAGTTATATATATAATTTCAATAATGTATATATATATATATATATATATATATATATATATACACATACATACACACACTCTGTTACTCGGCTTGGGAAGCTCAGTTTCTTTATTCTTATATGTTTGTAAATTGTGCATTTCTTGCTTTAAAAATGATTGAATTATGTTCTTATCTTTCAGTTAAGGTTTTTATGCCTTTAGTTAACCAGCGTCGTATAGTTATAGAATTATCAACAATTAAAAAATTCTTTTAGTACGGCTAGGCCTTTTTTTTTTTTTTTTTTTTTTTTTTTTCCCATAGCAACCAGTTTGTTTACATTTGAAACTTAGCACAATAGTGGATTTGTTGCCAATCTAGAGAAACTAAGCTTCGCAACAGCAAAGTAAAGTTGTAGTGGTTACTACATCATAAACGTTAGTTTTCTGGTTTAAGAATAACTTTACGCTACTAAATTTAAAAGAAAACGATTTATTATTAACATTTTAAAGACGTTCTCTTTTAAACAACATCATTCTACGACTATTTTCGTTTCTACTGTTGCCACTCACATCCTACATAAAGTTGTACAAAAGAAAAGATTACATATGATTTGTAGAGGTTACAACGACTTCTTTTATTATTGCGAATTAAATTCTGGAATTATCCCTAATTGTTACGAAATGTACAGGAGCGGTAAGATGGCTTCCCCGCAAAGCCGGTTTAGGGTTTCCATAAAATAGCAAGGAAGGCAGGGTTTCCACAGTTGGGGAGAATTCGGCCATTTTGCGACAAAATTCGCGATTTGGCATGGACGAATGGAGAGCCTTTTGGAACGAATTCTTACCGGTTTAGCCCAGAATGTTCTCGAACACCAGCCAAAATCTATATAAACCCTGTTCGTACTCGAAGAGTAAGTATGGAGTTGATGTCTCGTCTAGCGAGTCAATCTCTGCGGAGTCGCTCGAGTTGACAGCCGGGCAGCGAGTGCCGAGTGGTTCGTCGAGTGTACCGAAAGAGTCTCGTAGTGTATCGCGGTTAGTGCACCGTCGAGAGAGCGTGTGTCGTCGAGTGCATCGTGAGTTGTAGCGTGGAGAGTCTCGAGAGGACGTGGAGTTCCGAGAACGACCAAGCAGAATCGGGAGCTGTACTCTAGTGCTTTGCCGTGAAGCTGTCTTCACTGTGATAACCTGATAACCTGGAGGTGTGTCGCTGATCGTGTCAGCGTGTTTATAGTAGTTCATTAGTTCATCGACGACTGTAAAAACGTGATTTGGAGCTGTCCTGACAATGAAGTGTGTTTCGATACTTCATAAAGTAGTGTTGTCATTATTCACTCCAAATCCTCACGAACCCAGTACGAACGTGAAGGAAGAAAATAACGTAACAAGTGGTGTCAGAAGAAAAACGTAACAATATATTGACTCAGCGTCCACAATAAATTAAGTTAGTTTCTACGCTTTCAGCGACTTTTGCCGAGCGAGACCAAAAGCAAACTTTCAGTTTTGTGAACCGAAAAATCTGCCTTCTTGCCCGCCGGCCGAATTGCTGGTTTTGCGTAGAAACTGTAATTTCAATTGTAACAATTTTTTAATTGTTTTAACAGTATTTGGTGTCTTATGATTTCCTATATTTTTAATATCGATATTTTGAGTTTTTATGTATTTTTGCCTTGCCACGAAATGAGAACTGAGTTAATTGAATGAGAAATATATCTCTGATGAAATTCCAGGAAATAAGTTTAAATGAAAGGCAGCAAAAAGGTGCCTATAATCTCTACATATAATAAAAGAGAAAGAGTCTGTGTGTCTTTCGTTCGTGCTGCGCGTAAGCTAATAGACCCAGCGGTACGAAATTTTGTTTATATCTAGGCAAGAGCCAGTGCACCTCAAAGCGATTTTTTTCAAATTCGAGTTTTTTTTTATTCCTTTAATTTTATCTTTTCGATTTTATCGCATCGTTTTACATAGTTTCATTCTTTTAGAAATGTGGTTTTGGCAGCAGTTTTTCATTCAATTGTATACTGGACTGCCGACTGTTGAAAACGAGCACTGTTGCTACTTGGAAAAAAGAGGGTGATAATTCTGTGCAGTTTTTTAATTTAATGTTTCTCTTGGGTACTGGACGTTTGTGGGGAGAAGGCAATGGGAAGTTTGTTAATTTATTTATTAGGATAATTAATATTTGAGTATTTTTTTATGAAGTTGTTCTGCAGAGTAAAAATTCTGCGCAGTTTTTAAATTTAACGTTTTGGCCCTTCAGGCATTTTCTCGGTACATTTAAAAGCCAGACGAGGGCTGGCCACGTAGCTGTTAATAATATTCCGTACAAGGAAGTCATGTGCTGTGTACATCAGATTTTTTTAAATTCATTATCGAAATGGTTCTAAAAAATGTAAAATACCACATGTATTTTATTTTACAGGCATTATGTCAACAAAAAATTGGTGTCTCTTGTTTCTACTCTGGTTTCCCTGCTTGGACGTTTTAGTTTGCCTCGGCTATGAAAAGAGTTTAACACACAACCACACTTCTATTCTTGGCACAGAAAATCACAACTATTTTGCAGACTCACCTGTCCATAGTTCAGCCAGAGCTGTTCCACCCAGCGAAGGAAGTCGCTATTTGAGAAGAAGATGGGGACCTGGAAAGAAACTACGCAACAGAGAATATCTCTTACGTCTTATGAGTGATTATTATGAAGTAAGTCATTTCTTTGCACAGATTAGATGCAGCAGTTAACTGAAAAGCATGGTTTCTTCTGCAGAAATGTAACATTTTAGTGGTACACTGCGCTAAAAAAATATTAAAAAATAACAAAAAAACCTTTCAGGTTTTAAATTACGTACCTTAAATTTAATAAACCATAAAATTCAGTTCAGCAGCAATGTCGCAAAATAATTTTAAATTGAGCATATCTTTAAAATTTCCAATACACAGTCCCGCGCGGTGGAGATAAAAATGTTTTTTCTGTACTGCTCGCTTTGAATTCCTTCACTTTGTTAATTAAGAATTCGTTAAAGTTTTACAAAATAGGAAATAGATAATAAAACAAATTCCAAATTTCAAATTTGGTGTTCCACGTGCCCATATTCGCAGGAGAATTACATCGTTCAAAATTGGATATCTATAGGTACTGTTGTTTTATCACAATGCGAGAAACATACATATATTTATGCAGATTCTTCATTATTTAATTTCTTCAAATATAATGCAGGACTCTAACATCTGGTGGCAACTGTTTCTTCCTTTCGCATTTCGAAATTCAGGTTCATTCCAAATAAAATTCGCCGCTCTTTTTATGATTCATTTTTAAAAAAAAAAATTATTTTAAAATAATTTTTGTAATTTTTATTAAAAAAAATTTATTATAATCTATATAAATGTTTTTTTTATTATAATCTATAAAATATTTATCATCGTCTTAAAGCAGATGTATTTCTAAGCATATCTGCAAAAAATTAGAATTTTTTATTCAAAACTTCCGAGGATATACGTAAATTTATATATTGGCGCGTTTTGAAATTTGGCATACTTGTTGAAAGCGGTAGTAACATCAAATATTATTTAGGCACTTTATTAAAATTATTTAAAAATGCGAACGATGTGACTTTTTTCCGCTCATGCGTAATTTAAAAGGGGAAAGGAAAGTAGGTTGCCGTATATTAAGTGTTCGCCTAGTGACTTATTCTTAGCACAAACTGAAAGAAACGGCCCTGGATAAATTTTTTAATTTATCCGTAAATTTCGCACCCAATTTTACAAAATTTAATATTCAGGTATAATTTGAAGCGTAGAATCGAAATATGGAAAAAATTGATATATTTTCGAGAAAAAGTCTGATTTTGAGTCAAAATAGCTATATGAGAACAATGCTATAAATTCAAAATAAAGTAATTAAAAGTAAATCGAAATGCCTATGACTTGCGCTAAAGCTGCAAAGTAATAAACTAATAATGCATAATAATTTATAATAAGAAAACGTTCCATATACCATCTCCAAGGAACACAAAATCAATTTAAAACAAGAATGGGGAAAAAAACCAGAATTTCAAGACTTTTGAAAGTTTTCTTATTATAAATTATTAGAACGCTATATATAAATCTAATATATATATCCCAAGTTGCGCTTTCGCAGCATGAAAAACACAAGATGAATTTCGTCAGTCGTCCCAGTAGATCGAGAGATATAGAACTATACTCGTAACATTTTTTTCGCAGTGTACCTTCCGAAATGCAGCATTCCCAGCGGCGTTACTAAAATTTTTATCTCTCGGGGGGGGGGGGGTTCCGGAATTTACCACTTATGATATAGAAACAAATAACTATAAAATTTGTCAAAATAACTCCAGAATTAAACATTTTTAATGTGAGTGTTTAAATTTGAAGGAAAATTTTAATTCCTACATTTTAAAATTATACTATTTTTAGTCCAAAGGGCGTTAGCCCAGATACGCTATTAATTTCTTTGTGGCATTTTTTTGTCCAAAACTTTAAATGTCTGTTTCACTTTTCAAATTGTTGCCACCGAATATTCTCGCCCTGTGTTATGTTAAAGCAATTAAACAATGAAGAATTTGCATGAATGTATGTATGTTTCTCTCATTGTGATAAAACAACGGTACCTAGAACCATCTAATTTTAAATAACGTAATCCTGCACCGAAAAGCCCAATGTGGGAATTTGTTTTATTATCTCTTTCTGTCCGTCTGCTGTGTAGTTCTTTAAACAGGTCCGGGATCCTGGAAGTATCACCTGCCATGGAATGCCTTTCCATCATCCGATTTGAAGTTCGGGTAAAAGATTCCGTTTCGAACATGGAGTGAGTCCCAGAAAGCCCAGTGCTGTTTTGTCTTAGTAATACAGATCGAAATGTCCTGCCAGGTGGGTTTCCTGTTTCAAGATTGCATTAAGTCAAGCCGCCCAGATGGTATAGTGGTTAGGGGAGGTAAACCGCTAAGTTGCCTTCCGACCCAGATATATATATATAGATATATCCATGCATAATTGGTTACCAACTCGGCGGGAGTCAACCACTAGCTACCAGGCCGCAGCCCTGGGCAGCCCGGCTGAGCAGACGACATTTATAAAATGCAAAACAAAGATATACATGTGCATACAAGGCACTTGAAGAAGGGTACAACAATGTACAAAGAAATATATGCATGTGCATACAAGGCACTTGAAGAAGGGTACAACAATGTACAAAGAAATATATGCATGTGCATACAAGGCACTTGAAGAAGAGTACGATCAAAATATACACACTTACATACATAAATATTCCGAAACAAATAAAAGTATACATACTCTCATTCATATTGATATATACATCGATACATATACGTTATCATGATAGTTAAAGTTTACAAGAAGCATGCCATTGAGGTACGTGTGATCCTTAGTATAAATTAGGTACCATAAATAAAAGATATAAACATGTACAGATACATTATAGCATTCAGATACAGTACGAATTTTATGTATGAGAACCTGGCACAGCATAAATACAAAATGACATATTGAGCATACATATCACATACTCTGTTGCTGACATATTGAATGAACTAGCTTATATAGACTTTTATGACTACTATCTTCCAGCGTCAAAAGAGTTCTAGTACAGTCCTCAATTATTGTTTTCAGTTTCTGCTGGGCAACTTTGTTACTTCGTTATTACGTAATTAATCAACTACTGTTGATCGAAGTTGTCAGAATCCACTGACGTATGCAGGTTCTTTTTATATTACTAATTAAAAAACAAGAAAAAAAATTCATTTACCTGTTCTGATGCATTGTTGAATCTGACGCGATGTTTCAGCTGGCAATCTTCTTTACAGAAAAACCACAATTGAATTTCTTGACATCACATTTTATTTACATAAAACATTCAAAAGGGAAAAATTAATATTTAAATACATTTTCTTGTACAGCCTCTCCTTTTCTCTTATGGCTGTACGACACAATTTATCCGTCCATCACACGGATTCGAAACCGAACTATCTACTGTTTACAAAAGAAGAAGAATAAAAACAAAGTTTTGATTTCTCTCACTAATGGAACCTCTAGCGCTCTCTAGCGAGAGAAAGACACTTTAGATGAACATTTAACATCGTAGATTCTGGTTTCGGTACAAAAAGTTCTCCATGAAGAGAGCTTCGCTTGGTATATGTGTTTTTTATAGATGGCACGCGCCCTCCTAAAGTCCTGCATACGTAAGTTTCTAAGAGCTTGTTCTTGGGTGACCTGCGCACGCCTTCGTAGTGGTTAGGGAAGCCTGACTGCGATATCGAAGGGCCCGGGTTCGAATCCCGGAGAAGGCATGAATATAATTGTCTGTCTCTTCATAGGAGGCAAAGGTGGCCCACCTATTAGGTGCCTCCACAATGAAGAGACCCTCACATCTGACCTTAGGAGTAGCCGATGCCCGCATAGGCAAGTGCCCGCCCTTGAAAAAGAAAGATTCCATTAAGTCAATAATGGGTTTTATGTTGCCTTCTTCCAACTGGTCTTTCTGGACTTCTTCGTCACTCCATAAATCTCAGTCAGACGGGGTTGAATTTGTAACTTGACGTACGACCAGATTAATCAGCTCGTGTGGTAGAGACATTAGATTTTTTCGAAGCGGGAGAGATGAAAAATGTACAATGCCCTCGCCGGGACTCGAACCTTGGACCTCTCGAATACGCGCCGAGCGTGCTGACTATTACATCCCGAAGGCATGCTAAGAAGGCGGCAGGAAATACCTTAAATACATAATATTCAAGCAAAATACCTTATTTATAAGTTTTTTTGTTGAATATTATATATTTTGTATGTTTTATTGTAATTGAAATTACGCTCATTTGATTTTAAGCTTTTAAACATTTTAATGTAATTTTGATTTTAAAACTGTTTCAAACGGGCGGAGTGTTTATATTTGATATATCGTATTGGTTTAATGTGAAGCTTACCAGAAAAAAATTAAGTTTGATTATATTACTGTTTTATTTTTGTATGTTTCTTATTTATTTACAAGCTTGGTATGATCGAGGCGACCTTTGTTGGTCATAAGGTCTTCATTGACAAGGGGGACAGGATCGTCCTCCAATCCAACCTTATATACTCCCCCTTTTAAAGGGAGACTGGGGATTAGGGTACCAAGGCGCCAAATCCTGATGGTGGAGAATCATCATCCATCACATTTTTTAGTTCGTGTGCCACTGTAGAGTCATTAGGTTTTTTGGAAGCAGGTGGGAGGAAAATTGTGCAATGCCTTCGCCGGGACTGGAACCTCGGACCTCTCGAATACGCTCCGAGCATGCTGACACCTTAGCACCACGAAGGCATGCTAAGAAGGCGGGAGAAATACCTTATAGTATGATCGATGCAAGCCAATGGTTGAACTGCCAGTACTCTCTTTCTGAACTTAGATTTTTCAATCATTAGTTAAACTCACTTTATTTGTACTCTTAGGCATGGTTGACAAAAAGAGTAGAAGTGCAGGTGTTAAAATTTTGATTGATGTAAAATTAGAAATATGTTCGCAGAGAAAGGCAACTTTCTTAATTTTTTAAATTTTATCACAAGAGAATTTTTAATAAATTCTAATATAACACAAAATGTTACAGGAATAATAATAATGTTAAAATAAATGTAGCAATAATCATTATTTATTGTATTACTAATGATTAGAATTCAGATCTTGACTAATCACAATTTGA